AGGGGGGAAGTCTGGTAATGAACAGCATGGCCAAAGTTACTCAGGTGAGCGATGTGGCCCATGGGCCTCTTGTTATTTCTAACCTTCTTACTTAACAGGTGGACACTAAGGCTAAAGAAAACAAAAGCAATAAACGACAAACAGAACCACCATGGCTAGAAAACATCTGCTGGAATAAGAAGCTGGCCATGAACTACCAACTCCCAAATCGGAAAAAGAACAGGGTATTGAAGTCAGATAAAGCCTTCATTACGGCGTCTGAAGCTTCAAGTGTTCTCCTACAACAAATGATGGAGCTACAGAGTGATATTGAACAAAGTCAAGGGGCTCCTGTTATTGTAAGCATAACACCTTACCCACTGATTTGATCACTTTTTACGAATCAGAAAAGTGTACAATACAAAGAAACCTGGGATGGGGGGGGGGGGGGGGTGTTGAAAGTGCTTTTCATGTTGAATGTCTTTGTTTCCTTTTAGGATGAAGAATGTGACTATCTGTTCTATGAGGAGGAGGAGCCATTTTCTGACTGTGACAGTAGACTTATCTCCCTTGAAGACATTCATGAAGCTCTGTCTCGATGTGAAAATCACGAGGATGGCATTGGATGCTATAAAGAATTAAAAATGAACTCAGAACAGAATAAAAAACCATTAGGGAAAAAATCAAGTGACCCAAATATGGACGTTTCTTTAGAATCAGAAGTTGTGACATCATCTGTTGTCGATGATAGGATTGCTACTGAGCAGGTGGATGGAATGGACTGTCAAACTGAAAACCAGCCACCTCTGGAAACCCAAACACCTTTAGATTCACAAGAACCACTAGATACTCAGGGACCATTAGACTCACTGACAATGGATATTGAGTCTAATTGTTCTAAAACGTCGAGTGACTTAACTCCGAGTGATGAGAGAAGTAGTGGCGAGGCAGGAAGTTCTGTTAAAGAGTCGGACGCGACGTCATCCAAAGGATCACTAGACGAGGGCAAAGACTCCTCCGAATCAGATGTAGATGTGGGGAACAGCACCAGGAAAGATTTCTTTGACATGTTCTTTGTCATTCCACCAATATTCTTTGTAAATCATTGTACAACACCATTCTGGAATCGTAATTTTGATATGACACCATTAATGGAAATGGAATACACAGTGAATGCAAAGAACCCTGAAAAATGTTTAGGGGATGACATGAGAAGCATTAGGAATGTTGTACAACCAGATCTGGTGAAGAAACAAATGAACTTCATGATGGAGGAATTAAATTTGTTCAAAAAATCCCCAGAAGAAAGTGACACTAAACCTCAAGAAACTGTGACTGGTAGAAAGGAAAGTAGGTGTTCTGTGGACAGTAGTTCAGTAAAGAAACCGGCATCACAACTGAGGTGTAAACCAGAGCCAGTCTTAACTGAGGATGTGTTTAACAGTCTATTTGTGAACATGTTTAATGAGGACTTACCGACTAGTTGTAAAGAGCGATCACCAGATATAGAAGATATTTCTGACTCGCTGGATGAGGTGGATTAAAGTGAGATAAGAGATTACGGATATTTGTCTGTGAAAGTTAGTAGAGATTACTGATATAGGTGTATAAGGGTGTTAAAGATTACTAAATTGTGTCTGTGAAAGTGAGTAGAGATTACTGATATATGTGTGTGTGAATGTGTTTGAGATTACTAAATTGTGTGACAAGAGATTGTTGATTTGTATCTGAAAGTTAGTAGAGATTACTGATGTATATGTGCGAGGGTGTTGGAGATGACTGAATTGTGTGACTAGAGATTGTTGATATGTATCTGTGAAAGTTAATAGAGATTACTGATACTTGTTTGAAAGTGAAGAGAGATCACTGATAGTAGAGATTACTGGTATGTGTGTTTGAGTAGAGATTACTGATATGTAACTGAAAGTGATTAGGGATTTCTGATATTTGTGTCTGTGTGAGTAGAGAGATTAATAATATGCTTGCCTGTATAATTTTTTTTTTTGCTATACCAACAACGAAACCATGATTAACCATTTGTCCTTTCTTAAGTGATTTTTATGTTTAACTATAAAAACTTTTCAGGTGTAACAGAGAAAATGTTAATACAGATTTAATATATTTTGTATTCAACACCAGCAGATTGCAACCAGCCAAGAGATTTATCTACCTGTTTTATTTGATTACCTTTTCTACGTAAAGGGGAGAAATGAGAATGATCCTTGACTTTAGCGCTGGAGGTGTGAATATACTATAGGGGAGTCCAGGGGCATGCCCCCTGGAAATTTTCAGATACATGTTCCAAAAATCTGCATTCAGAGAGCTTATCTGGGGGGGGGGTTTATTTTTTGAAGTATCAAAAATAAATATATTTTAGATGTTACACGTGTAAGTTTAATCAGGAAATCTTCTGTAATTAAAAGGGGAATTTTGAAATTTTTTCCAAAGGGGAAGGCTACCATGTAGTGCTAGTTGAAACAGCATTGATAAATCCCTGAAGCCACACTCACTACTATATCTTAACTGTGTGTCACTAGAAGCACACAGTAGTGATTCTGTCACCGACCATAAATTATTAGACAATCAGCAAGGAAGTCCCAACACATCCCTGACTAAATAGTTGTGATACACACAGGGTACCAGGGGTTAAATAAGTAGATAAAGCATTTCCCATGTTTAACAAAATTTTGTTAAACTCTGAAGTTCCTGCTTTTTGATCTCCTTTAACATTGTACACATGTATATACATATTTTACACATTTCATTGTAAGTTATTTTTGATAAGTCCCCTGAAAGTTGAGTGCAGACATATTGTTTGTATGAAAGGACACTTTTAAGACACAAGTGTTTAAGAAACATGGTATAAAATAAAGCCATGTGCTTACATTGTCTTACTGGAACTATTTTGTTGTCATTGATATTATTACAATGTATTGGTTTGTTTATGTGTTGTCTGTAGATTTTAAAGTAAATAGCATTGTTGTGATTGAATATAGTTGACAGTGTGGCAATGCCATAAAAAATTGTTGTGTAGCTTTTGTGATTTATCATGTTTTATATCAATTTTAATTTTGTAAGAGTTAAATTCCAAAATGGGTCTTGTTTCTGTCTCCTTTGCGACTGACCTGAAATATTCACCCAAGTTATGAGATTTTGTTGCTGTGTTTTGGAACAATGCTTTTTTCTTTGCATACAAAGCTGACTATGTACTTTTACTTTAAAGATGTTATAGGAGGGGGAAAGAAAAATCCTTAACTTTCCTCTTTGTACATGTAAGTCAAAATGATGAGGCACAGAGATTTAACAGAATTTTAATTTAAGCTTTGTAAGCATGATAACAAGATATTTTTATAGGAAATGATAAATCCTATTTAACATGGTCTTCTAGTCACAAAGGGTTATATTTCAGATTACATACTATGTATGTGAGTGTATTTTTAAGATAACCATTATCTTCATTAATTTGTAATCACTCAAATCTCTTGACTGTCCACGAAGCATTTTTCTATTAATTGTGATCCGTTTTCAAGGAATTCTAGGTACAGGGGTACCAATGTACAAGGAAGAACTTTTTTGTGCTGAATCAAAATAAAACCTGTATACCAGGATTATTTCCAATTTTCGTGAATAAAAAGACGAGGAATATTATCCAAAGCTAACAGGTTCTTCCCAAGTTTCTTTTCGAGCACATTTTCTGGGTATCTGTATATGAAAATATAGGAATTATTTATAATGATGTTAATCCTTATTATATAGAAAGGGGCATGTGACTAAATATTTAGATAATCCCCTGATTATCTGACATTATCAGGGTGTCTAAGAGTTTTCCAAACTGCTGGACAGTGATATCCAATTAATTCTTTTTGACCAAAGACCATGTAATTTCTGACATTTACTTCTTAGATCTTTTGTAAAACATCGACATCTCAACCATCTGCATTACACATTTGTTTGTCATTCCATTGTTGTTTGTTATTAATGAATTCTGAATAAATTATTTCAAAATGTTTAGCAATTACTTTTTTATTAAGTTAGATACATGTTTGTTGTTCAGTATTATATAACAGATTTACAGAATCTTTGGAAGTTAAATGTATTCATTGTGTAAGATTGTGACATGTATGCACACCGCAGGTATTTCCTTTTGAATAGCTAATTGTCACAACTCGTAGCGGTTTCCGCTTCCGTTTACAACCACAAATCACAAATAGCAAAGCTTCTCGGAAACGAGTTCCACTCCAGCTGTACAGGTAGAAGTTAACACATCTATTGACATACAGCAAGTAAAACGACATGGATGATATAAATCTCTTCCAATCCTTTTCGCTCCTTGATGCGTCCAGAAGTACCGTGTTCGAATCTATTGTGGTGAAAATTGAGAATGGTAAGGTGCAGACTATCACAGTGAAGGAGTCGACCAGCAGCATGGTGGCCACTTGTCGTCTGCGGGATCCTGGTTTTGTTTTGACAGACTCTGGCAGACATTCTCTGGATTTGTACATTGAACAATTGTGCTGATCTTTTCTGATCCTGTCAGAAATCTTGATATGCCTGATGATGATTATATTGCTGATAATTATAGCCGTAAATGATACAAGAAGGAATATGTTGTGAATCCATGGCCAGACAAACTTCCAGAAAATCTTCAAATTTTCTGAGTCAAGGTAAACGTAACACAAGCGATCGGATTCATTCAGGGCGTAGGTGTCGGACGTGAATAAGAAGTTCACGTCTTTGAGGAACACGAAGATGAAAACCAAGACGGTCACCCGCTTTGCTCGCTTTGTTGTGCACCAAGATGACGATCTCAGAGGGAAGGTTATCGCCAGTCCTCTTTCTAGTGTCATTGCTGTCGTTAACAAAACACCGGAATCACTACTCACCCAGCCGAAGAAATGGAAGAATTTACACATATAGTGAGAATGCTCTCCTCTGTAGATGGTTGATGGGTAATTTAGATTCAACCAATCAACGGTAAGGAGACTAGCCAGACTGAATGTATCCACGACAGCATTGGCCATCATGTAGAATGACGTCGATAAAGAGCGGAAATAGACGCTTCTCATTACAAGAACAACCAGCACATTGCAGACGACGCCTGTCACAATAAGAAATGGCGGGAAATAAAGATCCAGTCCATCTGTGATGCGACACAGAATAGATTTATCCGATACATGAACCATTGCAGTGTAGCTGATGTTGTATTGTATGGGTCATCTGTAATATAGAAACTGCACATAACTTGTATTCTACTTCGTGCATAAGAAACAAGAAATTTAAATCCCACCAACACTTTCCATCAAAAAAGGACGAGCAGTTTATTAGAGGTTATGTATAGCTATTGTACTGAACGGGATTGGGCAGCAAGCTAAGCTTATTGGAATACGTGTAAGGTATATCTGTAGTGAAATATTTCTTTTGCACTATATGCGACAAAGAAAAATGTTCTAATGCTGCCGGTATTTTCATATGTACAAAACTAATTAATATTATCCATTAAGGTGCTTCCACCATCACACTTCCATGGGTTAAAAACTGCATTAATTTGTACTTTTAAAATATATAGCTTAATATACAAGTATAGCATCATATATTCAATTGTCACAAAAATGTATCAAATCTTACTGGTAAACAGCAATTAGTAAAATTGCATAAAAAAGGTTCAATTGACATCCTCTTTTTATTACTGAATGTCGCTTATGAGTACATGGATATTGATGAAACATTTTAGAAGTAAGAATTACTGGCCATTTGCAAAATATACATATGGTGTGTTTGTGAGACACTTAACACCCCCACCCTACCCCACCCCCGTATTGTCGCTGAGCAGCTCAATGTCAAGATTAAAAGTCTTGCAAAAGTAATCACCTCTAAGACCATGAAGAGGTCTAAAATATTTATACCCAAAGAAAGGCCTTGTCACCTGGAATACACGTGTGAAATATGAAAGTCCTAGAACTAACCATTTAGAAACTGTGGTCCAGGTTAAACTCTTTCGAAAGTAGTCAAACTCCAAGATCAATGTCATGTCATATTGAAACTCAAAGGAAGGACTTGCCACAAGAAATACACATATGAAAATGAAAGCCTTACCATCAATCTATCAGAAGTTTTGGCAAAATTTTTTTTTGGTTACAAAAGTAGGTCAAACTTAAAGGTTAAGGTCATTAGGTAAAAAAAAAAAAGATACCTAAAGAAAGAGTCTTGTCACAAAGAATGCAGATGTGAAAAATGAAAGCCCTAGCACCAATCATTCAAAAGTTATGACCAAGGTAATGCTTGGTAAAAGTTTTTTTTAAAGAAGGTCAAAAACAAAGGTCAAGGTCATAAGATAAAACATGTTGGTACCCAAAGAAAGGTTTCCGAATCCCGATTCTTTGATTACGGAGGCATAAAAAGTAATCAATTATAGCAAATATTAATATTTTAAAGAAGGGGTTTCCTTCAGAACCCTATCTACACTGCACACTCAATTTGTAATCAATACAAGTATCCTTAATATTTCAAAGGGCCAAGATAAATTAATTAAACACATTATCTACATGTACTTTCTTCATGGAAGTTAACAACTGTAATTTCTGTTCACTGATACTGTGTTGTGTTTGAACATTTTTCCCGGGGGTAAATGCCACGTACCATATATTAAAAATTAAATAGATAAGCTCAATATTTAAACCTTTATTCAAAATAATTTTCTCGATGTCCAAAAAACATTTTGTACTGGTGTAGAGAGGGTCCTTAAGGCTGTTTTTGGCCCATGTTTCTTACAAAAAATGAAATTGGATTGTCCACGAGTTTAAACTTATTTTCATTATTTTCGACGTCTAATTCTGTTCTGTATATTTTCTGGCGAAAAAAGGATAATATTGGAATAAACGATGAAAGTATGGTACCCTCAACCACTTTAACATTGAGTATATGGGAAAATGTTGGAGGGTTATGTTGTTTAACCTTCTAGTACACCACGTGTTGCATTGGGAACCAAAACCCTATTTTGATATGTACAGAAACATTATACTGGAATATAGTTGTGGTTCTCAATGCAGCATGCACTAAGATACTAATGACTTTGCTAATTTTGCAATTTGTTGAGTTGTGGTTAATTCATTCAAACATTTAAAGTGATCGATACACATTCATAACAGGGTCCAATTAATCAAACAGATTAATTATACCCTGCTCTGAAGGAGAGGGGCGTAAACTTTTTCACCCATGTGTATCTGTCTGTCTGTCTAGCTTTTGAAAAAAGAACTATTGGTTGATGTACACAATTTGGTACCTGCGGTTTCAAAAACATTTTGAAGATACGTTCCACACGAAAATGGGCACAGACATGGATTCAAAGGATATATCTTTAGAATATAAAAGTGTATATAAAAATGAAGTTTGATAATAGACAAATCTTGCATCCAATTTCTATAAATAAAATTTAATATAAAACAAGTGTAAGGGAATCCATAAATCTTTCTGCGTTATGTACATGTAAATAACATATATAACTGCCTGTTTATTATAGTGCATAGTACATGTAAACGCATGTAGGAGTTGCAAGCAAAGTTGTTTTAATAATACGTTTTAATATATGATATTTCTTAATATAATCGTGTCTATTTGTTTTATGTTATTATTGTTCATGACTGTATGCCGACATGGTAATTGTCAATAAAGTGAATTGAATTAATATTGAAAGCTTTTGTTTTCATAACTTATTGTTTTTCATATCTTTTTATGTTATTATAAATAGCAAATATATCGAACAAGATAGCGTACACATGCAATTTCCAATGAATTTTTATGGCTACAACTACAGAAGTTTTATTTCCAAAAAATATATAATCAATTAGCCTATTGTGTTACTTCAGCCCTGTTCTATGTTCCCTGATATACTGTTAATCTTTCTTTGGTTTTTCACAATGAATACTAGTAGTCTACTACATGTAATAAATAGTCATAATTTAAGCCTCTTAGATGCTTTTAGAGGGACCCTTTAGATACCACGTTGGTTTTGCTAATAAATAAAATATAACAGAGGAAACATTACTAGACATTACTAAACAAATTAATTTAATATTCATTATGGGCCAATAAAAAAACCAGCCTTATGGAAACTTGTCCTTTACTTAACTAGATGATCAGATGTCACAAGACAGTAATACCCGCACGTAGGTGTTTGCCTCTAAATGTACTCACCTTCATGTTTGGGGAACAATGGAAGTAACCATATTAATTCTATAAATTAAAAAAAGTCCGTTTTGTCGCCCCCCCCCCCCCTCCCGGGTGAAAATCGAAATTCTGAAACCTTATTGCATATCTTTAGAACACTCAATCATATCCCGAAACATGAATGGGCTACTGTGAAAAACGTAAAAGGAGTACAGGGAGCCATGTTTTTGTAGAAAAACACTTTTTTACAACTCCTATTTTGCCGCCAGAGTGAAAATAAAATGTTCACAGTCTTTTTGCACATGTTCAATCGTATTCCAACAGATGGGTTGGCTACAGCTTAAATGTAAGAATAGTTTGAGGAAGAAGATAGTGTGACAGACCGACGGACCAGGATAACAACCATCTAACCAAACTTTCATTACAATTTACAAAGCGCGGATATAATAAAAAAAAATTTGAGGAGAAAAAAAAAGCCTATGGCATAAAGCGAGAGTAGAAATGCCTTAAAAGAATATAAAGATACTTAAGAAACAAAATTCATGACTAGTTTTCACTTTAAAGTAAGATGGTTTGTATATAATCTTGTCCATTCTCTCTAGACAGAATTTTTTTTATATGTATATATATTACCTAGAGTTATATAAAGATCGCCAGAAGATCTTAAAAAACCGGGAGGGGTGGGTTTATTATGCCCCCACCCTAATTTGTGTCCCCTCAATAGTGACGAATAATGACCTCACTTTCTTTGCTTGTCCGGGAATTTCTGTTCGATGTTGCCAATCTGAAATTACTTCCTAAGGGACTTTTTAATTAATTTGATTTCTCTTCCCACATCAGAGGTTTTAATCTACCATTTTCAAAATATTGCCATAACTTAAGCAACGAAGGAAGAAATCATTACTTATTACGATCGGTTTTGTCTATAAGAAACAATACATAAATGTTTTTTTTAAATCTATCCTTTCAATACAAAAAAACTTATCACCTTCCATTTGAGAGGTTATAGGACTTGAACTTATCTTGGGTAAAATAACGGGCCATACAACAGGTACAAATTAGTATAAAACTGAGAGGAGATTACGGGGGCTAGTTCAATTAGATTTTTTGGGGGAGAGGGAGGTCACAGATCTGTCAAACGCGAGTATGATAATAAGGCAGAAATATACATTATTTAATTGTAAACATTGGTCATCAGAAAAATAGAGGTAGGCCTTATTCTGTAACAACAAAGGGGGGGGGGGGCTCATAACTTTACAATACTCTACAGGAGATCAAACGTACTGCTTCCCTCCCTTGAACATGATATCTTCAAATTCAATTAGTGGTATTTATTGTACAGGCCCGTACGAAGCAATTTCAGTTGGGGGGGGGGGGGGGAGGGGGCACAACTATACATTTTCAGTTGAGGGGGCACTATCAACTACCAAAAATTCCTTGACAAGCAAAAAAAAAAAAAAAAAGGTCATCAGACGTTTTTATTGAGGGGGCACAAGCATATAGTAGAGCTCTATGTTTTCTATAGTAAACTATATATCGGCAAAATTATTGGGGACCCCCCCCCCCCGGTTCCTACGGCCATGTTGTACACTTCAGATACCCAGACTTTATAAGACAAAAATGTATAATGTTCACCATAGTATAAAATGAAGTTAACACAAAACAAACCTTACCGTAGCCTAATGCACATCAAACTGTTAAGCCATCTTCATCCTGAATTAGAGGAGAGATTTACAACCAATGTACCTTTCCTGTTAAGAGCGGGTAAAGCTATTAAACTGGAGATTTTATCCTCTAAAGGCATTGTCCACGATAATTCGATATATAATTATATACTCATGAATGAAATTACACCCCC